AATTATTATATAGTGTACTAAGTTTTGGGTGAAAAGTACTAATTTGTTAAATAAATGAATCTAAATTATAGCCTATTTAAGAAAAACATGTTGTCCTATATTTTTAAAAAAAATTTTTATCCTCATCCGAAGACAACTTTCCATTTTTTGTTCAGACAGAGTTGGAGGGAGAGAGGAAGAGAGAGAGAGAGAGAAACATTGATGTGAAAGGAACACATCGAGGGGCTGCCACCCTCACGACCAACCAGGGCCGGGGACAAACTGCAACCGAGGTACACGCCCTCAATGGGAACCGAACCTGGGTCTCTCTGGACCGCAGGCCAATGCTCTAACAGCTGAGCCAAACCGGCCAGGGCTGTCTTATAATTTTTTAAAATATTTTTTCTTTATAGATTTTAGAGAGAGAGGAAAGGAGAGAGAGAGAGAAACAGAAACATTAATGAGAGAGAACATCGACTGGCCGCCCCCTGCACACCCCCCCCCCCACCTTGGGGATCAGGCCCACACCCTGGGCATGCGCCCTGACCGGGAATCGAATTGGCGACCTCTTGGTGCATGGGTGGATGCTCAACCACTGAGACACACCAGCCGAGCTGTCTTATGAGTTTTTTCATGGCCTGGTCTTTTCTTGACCTCTGAGAAGCTTGATTTGGAGTTTAGTACTTACATTTTTCTTAGAAATGCCTTGGGGTGAATGCTTTCTCCTTAAAAAACAGGTTTAGAAAATTCAAAGTTGGCTCATTTCAAAGTGGAATAGATAATTATTTAATGTTGATCCAATCATTTCCCAGTTTTACTTTCACAGGAACCCATGATACATGGCACTGACATTTAGAACAGGAATTATGTTTAGAAGACAAGACAACTGCTTGGAATGACAGAAAGGAAGAAATAGTGTGATCGTTTCTGTATCGTTTCTGTGGGAGAACTGAGGCTGTGGAAGGAGGCTTATTCATGGGAATTACTCTTGAAGATAAATGAATCGAAAGGTTAGCTCTTTACCCAATCTGGAAAAAAGAAAGTAAATGGCATTCTTTCTCTTTTTATCTCCTATGCCACTTTCAGATAAATCCTTGATTTTTCAACCATGAATTTGATCAAAGAAAATGTGGGTCAGTCAGTGTAGTGGATGCTGGGGGTGCCGCTCACATCCCCCTCCCCACAGTCTGTTCAAAACTAGTGCATTTACTGTCCTGTCTGCTGGAAGTGCTGGAGGCGGCCAATTCTCATCTGAGTCTCTCTCTGAGACTTGCTCTCAGCCGAGGAGGGCCACCTTGCCCAAGGCCTCCTCTCCTGCCTGGCCATGTACACGGGGCGTGGGAATATTTGGTGATTGGCAGAAACCCACACTGGTTCCTTGGCTTGTGGAGCAAGGACTGTCATAGTGGGAGCAGGCCAACAGCAAAACGTGCCCTCCCCTTTACTCTAGCCATGTAGTAAATAAAAACCAACATCGCAGAGGTAGCCATACTCATCGTATCTCATTTAATTCACTGGTCTGTCCCCTACAAAGTTGGATGAGTCACGGTGGGTGAGAGTGAGTACGGTGGGTGAGAGTGAGTACGGCAAACTCAACACAGTGGTAGCCCCGGTGGCAGTGGGTGGGGCTTTTGAAAGCTGCCTGCAAACTCTGACATCCTTCCACCAATAGGTGCTGTCCACATCTGCTGTCCTTGAATCTGGATGGGACTTTGTAACTGCCTGGATGAATAAAATGTGGCAGAAGCGACGATGCTGTGTGACTTCCAAGGTTAGTTTAATAAAGACCATGTTGGCCCTGGCCGGTTTGGCTCAGCAGTTAGAGCGTCTGGCCTGCAGACTTATGAGTCGCGGGTTCGATTCCAGTCAGGGGCATGTACCTTGGTTGTGGTTCGTCCCTGGCCCTCGTCAGGGTCGTGCAAGAAGCAACCAGTTGATGTGTCTCTCTCACATCACTGTTTCTCTCTCTCTCTCTCTCTCTCCCACTCTATCTGAACAAAGATGGAAAAATATTCTTGTGTGAGGATTGAAAAAAAAAAAGACCACGTTGGTGTCTCTTGGGACACTTACTCTGGGACCCTTCAGTTGCCATATAACAAGTGTGGCTATGCCTGAGTCATCATGTAGAGAGACTACTTGGAGGTGCATATGTGTGTGGTGTGTGTATGTGTGTGTGTGTGTGTGAGAGAGAGAGACAGAGCGAGAGACAGAGACAGAGGGACAGAGATTGAGACTTGCTTAAGGAAACTTAAACATTTCTGCCCTTAGCAGTTTGAGCTTTCCCAGCCCAGGGGACAGACACATGAGAGAAATAGCCTTTGCAATAGCCCCAGTCACCAACTAACTGTAAACACACAAGAGACGCTGAATGAGAATTGCTTAGCTGAGCCCTGCTGGCCTCCAAAATTGGAGCAAAGTAAATGCGTTCTCGTTTCTAGGCACTGGCATGGTTATTATGTAACGGCAGATAACTGGAACATCGCTGCTGTGCCAGATGTGGTATCTTTCAAGTCTAAGCAGTGACTCTGTGGGGTGTACTCATCCAAGGAGTTTCAGCCCAATGCACTGGCAAAAACAGGCTCTGGAAACAGACTGCCATGCCTTTGAGCCCTGCTTCCGCATCTTACCAACTAATTGGCTGCAGGCAAATTTCTTGAACTTCAGACTTTGTTCATCTATAAAATGTGTATACAGAAATGAAAGGGAACTCAGGAGAATGTTTGAAGATTAACTGAGTTAACCTGATGCATAGCTAGAGCTCAGTAAACATTAGGAGGAGGATATTTTTGAATGAAGTAGATTCCTGCAAGAGCAGAGCAATTTGGTGACTATTGATGTCAAGAGACAGTACACAGGTAATTTTGTTACTATGAGCTGCAGCTTCAAAGAACTATATTTCATATCAAATTGTCAGCACTCTGAGAAAACACATATTTCTCCTCCAAGCTTTTTATTCACCACATAATTTGTTCCTAACACCAGTTGTATATTAAAATATATTATTAGAATTAAGTAGAGAAAACACATCAGGATGAAACTTTTCTTCAATCCTTTTTCCAGCAAAAATTACTATGGTTCCAAAGAAAGAAGTTTGCAATTAAATAAATGGAAACTGAATATTAACTTTTTGGGTGAATTTATTTTGAGTAAGCAATAAATCCAAGGGAAGGAAGTGAAGATAGATATAGAGATTCATTTTGGCTTAAATATAGATGCATTTTAGAATATATGTATTTATATACATACAAACACACACACACACACACACATATATATACACATACACACACACATATATATATAATTAGATCAATGAGTTTGTGCTTTGCCAATATCTAGCATATAGGGTATGTGTGAATACAGCTGCAAAAACTTGACCTTGATTTCTGTGAATATAATAATTAGGATGCTTCATTATTTTTATTTTAATTGACTTACATAAATAAAGATTTCCACCTTGATGCAATCAGCAATAAATTATGCAGTCTTTCTCGTCTTTTCATGCTCTATTCCCAAATATAGCTCCACAAATATAGATACTGTTAACCACCCTTTGGGGATGTGAGCAATTGCTTGTTTATTTTGTTGAAGGAAATAATTTACCTTCCCATAATATTAGTGTGAGTCCCTAATTCCATCAGATAAAGAATTTAAAAGACTCCAAAATGATTCAAGACTAGTTAATGGCATCTTAATGACCTCACATCACTTTCAGGAAAAACAAAGTAGGAATAATGACTGATAAGGTCTAGGGAATAGTGGTGTATTTACGGGCTAACTCTTGAAAAAGAAACATAGGACTCAAGTCAAATATGTTGACTTGACTTGAGGGAGGTGGCTTGTTGAGGTGAGAGGGGAAACACTGGCTATCAGGAGAAAGAGGGACAGATGTAAGGACAGAGTGGAGAGGGCCAGTGGGTGAACTGGTCTCCTCTCTAACAAAGCAAGAATGAATAGTTTAATTCTCTGGGAGAAGTTTCTCTTACAGGTGAGAAGAAGGAAAGAAGTGGGGGAAAGACTACCTAAAGTTGAACAAGGAGTGGGTGAATCATATTTTAACTCTAACTAAGCGTGACAGGCACACACTGGTTCCAGAAACAACGGCTTTGACGTTGCTGCCCATCACCACAGATGTACAAGCACGTAAGAAAAAACCAACGGACATACAAAAGAGTACCAGCTTTCAAGAGTGGCCTCAAACTCAGCAATCAGAACAAGTCACCTTGTGAACTAGAGGTGCTTCAAGAAATGGGAGAATACTAAAAGTTTAGAATATTTCTAAATTATGTTTGAACACAATTATTTGGAACATTACACTGATAAACACTCTATATGCACATGGTCTTAAAGAGGGAAGAGGTAGAGATTGGTGAGGTTTATATGGAGAAAAAAATACATGACAGGTAAGTTAAAATCTTTAATGGACACATTGTCTATTGACAGCTTATGTATTGCAGAAAATGGAATCAAGGAAAAGGGAGACATACAAAAAAAATTTCCCCAAAACTAAGAGGAAGAGGATAAAGACATGAACATCAACTTAAGAAAAGATAAAAGCACAGTAGAGCAGAGGGAGAAGAATTTCATAAGAAATACACAATATAAGAGAAAGAATAATTCAAAAGAATAATAGAAGTTAACTATTTTAGCTGCATAAGGACTTAGGTATTAAATTTATGGTTTACTGGCTGTGGGAAAAATGGGCTAATGAAAACCAACGAACAGAGTATAACCCATACAGCTGTATAACCCATCAAGGCTAAGGAGGTTTTATACTTGACTTTTTCAGCATCTATGCACATATGTATGGACAGGGTGAGCAGAGGCATCTTCTACTGGCTCACAAAGCTGATGGCACACACCTCTTCTCACCTCCTCATTTGGTGACATCACGTTGTTTTTGGAGAGCTGGTTTACCAGCACACCACTGTACCTTCTTTTCTTCATATAGAATGAAAGGGGTTTGTAGAGTGATGACACTACTATTCTGGTGAAATAAATTTTCTTTTTTTTAAAGCAAATAAAGTTTATTAGTAAATACATGGTTTCATTGGCAATCATAACTTCACTTAAACAGGAGACAAAAATCAAATCAAAAGAATAAATGCTGGCTAATCATCAGAAAATCTGTGGCCATTAGGGCTATCACGTAGAAATCCAAAATCACTCAGAGGCCAAATCTTAAAGAAGATATGTCCTCTTATTAATCCATATGGAATAGGTCCATAGTACCTGGAATCTGTGGAATTCTGTAGATTATCACCTTCTAACCAAACATGGCCCATGGGCACACAATTATGGCTTTTAAAGAAATTTGATGAACTATTGGTGAGCATTTTGTCTCCTTTCAAACCAATTACTCTTTCACAAATATTTGACTTTAGATCACTTGGGCTTTTTGCAATCACAATGTCACCTCTTTGGATACCATAAAAATGTCGACTAAGATTTCCTGCAAAGACAATATCTGAATTTTGAATTGTAGGCTCCATTGATGGTCCAGAACACATGACAACACCACCAACATATTCAAAAGCACAATGAGCTATACAGTCATACTGAATAGTATAGCCCACAAGTTGAAAGGTTTTTCCCAGAATACCACAAAGCATAGTTCTATGTAGACTCTGTCACCATTGGCCATAGATCTGTTCTACAATACATTCGATTTTTAGGGTAGCTGCAGGGCTTCCAGAAAAAAAGCATCTAATGCATGTCTCAAAGCATACATGGGTTATCCATGGTTTCAGGATTCCTGGATCCTGCAGAAGTCTGAAATAAAATTTTTAAGGAGAAGAAAAACAAGAGCCTTGGCCAGTGTGGCTCAGTCAGCAGGAGTGTCATCTCATACACTGAAAGGTCCTGGGCTCGATTCCCCATCAGGGCAAATGCCTAGGTTGTAGGTTCAATCCCTGGCCCTGACTGGGGCCGTGTGTGGGAGGCAACCAATCAATGTTTCTCTCTCTCCCTTCCCCTTTCTCTAAACGTCAGTGAAAATGTCATCTGGTGAGGATAGAAGAAGCAGCAGCAGAAGCAGCAGCAGAAGGATAAGAAGAAGAAGAAGAAGAAGAAGAAGAAGAAGAAGAAGAAGAAGAAGAAGAAGAAGAAGAAGAAGAAGAAAAAGAAGAAGAAGAAGAAGAAGAAGAAGAAGAAGGAGAAGAAGAAGAAAGAAGAAGAAGAAGAAGAAGAAGAAGAAGAAGAAGAAGAAGAAGAAGAAGAAGAAGGAGAAGGAGAAGAAGAAGAAGGAGAAGAAGAAGAAGGAGAAGAAGAAGAAGGAGAAAAAGAAGAAAATGAGTATGTAGATAGGATAAAAGACTACTTATTAAGGAAAAAAACAAGGCTGATATTTTTCTTATCTTCAAAACCAATGATCAAAGACAGTAGAACAGTTCATATGGAGTTTGGAGAAGAAAAGATGTTGGATTTAGATTGTGATAGCTGGCTTCCCTGCCGTCAGGTGAAAATGCAATGAAAGGATCTCAGACACCATCAAGAAGTACTATACTGTTGCCCTGGTCAGATTGGCTCAGCGGTTAGAGCATCGGCCCACAGACCAGAAAGTCGTGGGTTTGGTTCCTGCTAAGGGCATGTTCCTCAGTTGCAGTTTGTCCCCGGCCTCGGTTGGGGTTGTGTGGGTGGCAACCAGTCGATGTGTCTCTCTCACATTGATGTTTCTCTTTCTCTCTTCCTCCCTCTCTCCTTCCCCCTCTATCTAAAGATAAATGCAAAAATGTTCTCGGGGGAGGATAAAAAAAGTAAACTGTTAACATACTCCTCTTGAAAACACTTATCATCATATTCCAGACAACTGAGAAGTAAATTAAAGAAATTAAGAATGTGGAATTCATGGAATAAGATTACCGCTTACATTAAATCTCCGGATCGCATGCCGACGCTCTAACCGCTTACATTAAATCTAAATAATTAGTGCTAACATAGCTATAAAACAATTCAAATGTTAAAAGCATTCTAAAGAGAAGCACACAATGCATAAATGTATTAATCAAGGTTCTCCAAAAATACAGAACCAATAGGATGCACATATATATATAGAAAGAGATTCTTTATAAGGAATTGGCTCAAGATCCAGGAGAGCCAGTCATGGAGATGAAGTCCAAAGGCAGTCTGGTGAAGACTGCCCTCTTACTTGGAAGGAGGTCATTCTTTTTGTTCTATTCAAACCTCCAACTGATTGGATTAGGCCCACCTACATTATGGAGGGCAATCTGTTTTACTCCATTGATTAAAATGTTAGTTTCATATAAAAACACTCTTAAAGAGATTTCTACCATAATGACCAAATGTCAGGGTACCCCAGGGCCCAGTGAAGTTGATACATAAAATTAACCATCACTATAAATTAAGTTCTTTAATGACAATAACCAGGATCAAAAAGGACTAATGATATTCACAAAACTGGGAAATGCTGAAGAATGGAGTAAAGACAAGAAGTGCACTTAGTCCTGCCCAGTTTGGCTCAGCAGTTAGAGCGACGGTCTGCAGACCAGAGAGTCCCGGGTTCATTTCCGCTAAGGGCACGTACCTCGGTTGCAGTTTGTTCCCAGTCCCGGTTGGGGTTGTGTGGGTGGCAACCACTCGATGTATCTCTCTCACGTTGATGTTTCTCTCTCTTCCTTTTTCTCCTTTCCCCTCTATCTGAAGATAAATGCAAAAATGTCCTTGGGTGAGAATTGAAAAAAAAGAGAGAAGTGCATTCAGTGGTGTACTGGTAAACCAGAGCTCCAAAAACAATGTGATGTCACTGAATGTAGAGGTGAGAAGAGATGTGAATAATCAGCTCTGTAAGTCAGTACAAGATGCCTTCAGCACACCCTGTCCATGCATATGTGCATAGATTCTGAATTCTCACTTACTTTTTCTCTCACTTATGCTTCATTTTTTTTTTTTTTTTGCATTTGCTTGATAGAGCTTCCTCTATTATTTTAAATCCTCACCTGACAATATTTTTTGCATTGATTTTTAGAGAGAGTGGAAGGGAGGAGGAGAGGGAGAGAGAGAGAAACATCAATGTGAGACACATTAATTAGTTGCCTCCTGCAGGTGCCCCATCTAGGGTGGGGGATCAAACTTGCAACCCAGGTATGTGCCCTAGACTGGGAATCAAACCTGAGACCCTTTGGTGCTTGGGCTGACACTCTAACCATTGAGCAACGCTGGCCAGGGCTTTCCTCTATTATTTTAATCTTCCTTTTTGGTATATAAGTTTAAGTAAAATTGAGTTTTATTTTTTAAAACCATATTTGAAATTTCTAACCATTTGACAATTTAAACCACTTACGTTTATTGTCACAACAAACATGTTTGGTCTTACATCTGACAATTTGTTTTATGATTACTGTTTATGTCCTTGTATCTTTCAAAAATTTTTTTCATTCCTATTTTTTTTCTCCTCAGATATTTTTGAGGGTTTTTCTATAACAGTTTTCTACAGTGTCCTTTCTTCTTTAAACTATCACCAATATGGATTTTAATTCTTCTCTTAGAGTTTAAATTATTTTTTAAACAATTTCATTTGGGTTTCTCTCTTTTGCTTTTTTGTCTTCATCTCTTCTCACTCCCTAATTTTGTTTCATAGTGGATTATTTTTCCTTCCTCCCTCCCTCCCTTCCTTCCTTCCTTCCTTCCTTCCTTCCTTCCTTCCTTCCTTCCTTCCTTCCTTCCTTCCGTCCTTCCTTCCGTCCTTCCTCCCTCCCTCCCTCCCTTCCTCCCTCCTTACCTCCCTTTCTCCCTCCCTTATCCAGATAGATATAATATTACTATTTACTGAAAGTATTTTTTAAAAATTTGTCCATTTTTTAAGAAAATCATTTAATTTATGTTCTTCCTCTGATCTTTAGGGTAAATAATTCTCTTTTCTTGTGCTTTAGTACCTTTTGTATAGGCCTCCAATGGGAATCATAATTTTAAGGAAGAAATCTTTGCATGATTTAGTTAACCATTCTACCAAAATCTTGCCTATGAACAATAAGATCTGTGATATTTTATGACAATGAATTATGAGTCCCAAAATACAGAGCACTCAAAACAAAACATATCTTGTGTGTTTTTTAAAATTCTAGAACAAAAGTAATTTTACAGTAGCTTATGATCTGTAGAACTTATTTTTATCTACTGAGAAGAAAGTGTAGATATAATAGGGATAGTTAGAAATGTACATAGAAGAAAAATATTTGGTATAAAAATTGCCTCATTTGGTGGTAATATTTTATTAAATTTAAAAAAATTGTTATTTTTTATTTGAGATTTTTGTTATAGTCTATCTAAAGTTTGATAGTTTAATCTTAATTCATTATATTTAGGGTGTTAACAACACAAAGCAATTTGGATATTTATAAATCTGTTTAGAGCACTCAGTAAAAGCATTCCTTACTTACAGTTGTCCTGCCTCTTCCTACCTTTCTCAGGAACAGTGAATTTTAAGTACATCAGTACCAGAAATTTATGAATATACAATATCTATGCTCACACATCAGACTTAGCAAGTCCCTTGTAAAAGTGGAACAACTTCATGCAAGATGTATGCCATTTTCCAAATGTTGTTTGTGTCTAAGTGTTCCTATAGAGAAATGTGAAAGGTGTCTATTTTTATAGGCTCAGAAGGCACATACATTTTGGGCGCTGTGAGTGAGAAACACCTGCTGGTGTAGGAAGAGCCACAGATACTCTATTTTGACTTCAGACCAGCTACCAATATTTGACAAGAGCACCTGTGCTGAGAATTAGTCAGTTTCTGCTCTCACATGTGCTGCTGTGTGATTCTCTGCAATGGTAACTCGTTCTTGTGGCCAGTGTACAGGCAGGCTGTGCCTAATTAATGAACTTAGTATCATTCTTCTACCTCTGGAGGAATTTCTGCCAATATACACCAGGTGAGTATGATTCAGAAGTTCCTCTTAATTCACTGCTTTGGGGTAGCTCATTCTCTAAAGTGGCAGTATGCTCTGGGAACAGAACATGGACTTTGGTCATGCAGATCTGGACTGAGCTGCAGCAGGGACTTAAAAAACAGTGTGACCTTGGTAAATCACATAGTCCATCATTTATTTATAGAAAAATTTATTGATTAATTTTAGAGGGTGGGGGAAGAGAGAGAAATGTTGACTTGTTGTTCCACTATTTATGCATTCATTGGTTGATTCTTGTATATCCCTGACAGGGGATTGAGCCTGTAACTTTGCATATTGGGACAATGCTCTAACCAACTGAGCTACTTGGCCAGGGCCAGCCCATTATTTATTAAGCACTTTGTCTTAAGTCAGATTCCCTAGAATCAGACCCTGAGATGAGGATCTCTGCGTGTATCAGCTGGGGTTCAAGCAGAGAGGCATAATAACGACAGGAGTGATATAGAGTAAGGGATTTACTATAGGGTTGAAAAGTAGAACAACTGAGAAATTATAGCCAGGAGCAGTTTCTTCTGAGTCTCTCTTACCTTACTGTAAATTCAGGATAATGATACCTTCCTCCATCAACAAATCATCAAACAAGTGCTGGTGAGGGTGTGGACAAAAGGGGACTCTAGTACACTGCTGGTGGGAATGCAGACTGGTGCAGCCACTATGGAAAACAATACGGTGTTTTCTCAAAAATTAAAAATTGATCTGCCATTTGACCC